GAGGGACGCTATATATGTGCTTGTTGTTGTTGCATTTAATATGGTCTTATCACATCAAAAATATCTTTAATTGCTTCAGACTTTTTCTGTAAAGTGTAGTGATTTCTTTTTGTATGCAAACACAGCAGTCAAGTTGCTTATAGCAAGGTCCTATAATCAGCCATAGTGTGAATGCTCAAATGTTTTTTTTTATTTGGGGGATTTTCAGTCAAGACACCAAAATAACTTCCTTTTCTTTTTGAACAGTGTCACGGGATCTTTAACATCCTCCTGAACAGGCTGAAATGGGCCTCAGTTTCAAGGATGAATTATGAAAAATGTACTTGATGCAAACCATGTCCCCAAAACTATTCTCAATGCGGAAATCATAATGTTGGGTGGCTCATTTGTCCTGCAATCTGTGGTTTTTGATTGCTGTTTAGCGAATCATGGCTTTACTCTGACTTGTAAACCCACAATCCCACTTCTAAGGCAGTCAAATGTTATAGCTGCTGCAAAAAATCCCAACCCAATTCCTGGAAGTTAGCAGAGAGAGCTGTATTATTGAGTGGGTGTCTACCTCCCACACATCTGGATAATTCACAGTTGATACTTAAAAAATCTCTTGATTTAGATTCCACTCTCCCCACACACATCAAAGACTCTTTTTGTCTTTCTTTGTCCCAGTTTATCCAGTGAGTTTCTTGCATGTCAAGATAAAAAATATCTTGACATGCAAGCCTAGGTCAGTTGTTGAATGTTACTCTTTTAGGGAATGAGAGGCTTTGGGTTGAGTGTATCTTCAGTGATGTTGAAATGCTCATCGATGCTTTGCACAAACATTATGGAGTCCTGTAGCTCAGTGGTTAGAGCACTTGCCTCGCAAGTGAGAGACCTGGGTTCTGTTCCTGGAAGGGCGAAATGTTGGGCGAATTTCCTTACTCCACATGCCTGTTTACCTAGCAGTAAGTAGTTAGTTGATTGTTGGATTGCTTTTCCGGAGATAATAATCCCTCAAAAAAAACAATAATTATTTGGTCACTCAATCCACGACTGTTTGTGGGACACCATGTGCACAATTGGCTGCCGCGTTTTGCTCACAAATATACAGTCAATTCACTTTACAGTATACTCTGTGAAGCACTTTGAGACATCCAGAAGACGTGAAAAGCGCTATATCAAATGCAAGGATTATTACTATATTAGCATCGTAGCTGGCAAACAAAATATACAGTCACTACACTTTGCAGAATATTCTGTGAAGAGTTTTGAGACGTCAGCCCAACATGAAAAGCGCTATATCAAATGCAAGCATTATTATTATTGTTGATCACTAGGCAGCTGTAACTCTCCTCAGTGTCAATGTGGAGGGGAAGCATATGTCGGGAGGACATCTCAAAGCACTTCACATCAAAGCTGTAAAGTGGAGTGACTGTGTTTTAATGGAGAGCAGTTGCCAAGTCTGTCATTCACTTTTTCATGGTATTTCTGTTAAGACTGACCATTCAGTTTGGACCATTTCTTAGAGCACGGGTCATTAGAGCATCAAACATTCCTTAATAAATACCTTGTACTGAACAGTTTGCATCATCGTGTGAGTCAGAAAACCAACTTCACAACTTTGTTCTTCTTCCATTTTGTTTGCGACCCCTGGAGTTGTAAACATCTGCTGCTGACTCTCTGCAAATTCCTTTAGAGCTCTTTCGGTTCTATTCCCAGCCTTCAGCTTTGAAGTAGCCACATTCACTTTTGTGCAGGGTTTCATACTGTTGTGCAAAGTTTGCTTTCTTTAGCCCAGCAACCGTAGACCTGCGGATCAAACGCAACTGGAAAAGTACCACTGTGCTCAAAAAACTGTTAAAAGCACAATGTTCTTCTTCTGTGTTTTGTCTGTAGCAAGGTCATTGCCATTGCACCTTGTGCCAGCTCCTTTAGGAAATGAATAGCTCAGATGTGTCAGCTCTCTGAGTCTCGCCTTCATGGTGTTGCATTGCAGAAGAGGTTGATGGATTGACCCAGTGAAGTGCCCTTGAACCAGTTCATTTATATATTGAAGGTTCGGCTGCTCAGATCAATACTTTCTCCAGAATTGCTTTCTAATGGACATAAATGCGAACTTGTCCTCGGTGATAATTCAGTCAGAGGACACTGACCCCCTTGCTGCTCTGTTGGCCTTTACCCATCCAAAGAGGGGCATCCCAAAGGATCAATTTGACTTTTCCCTCTGAGCCCACAGGAAACGCAGTGGATCAAATAAAAGGATCAGAGGGAAGAACCGATCTGGGACGTGTCAATTTTACTAGTGGCTGACTGCCCGCCCTAGAGAAGGTACCTGGACAGTCATGCAGATAAATGCAACTGAGGGGAATTCTAGGACCTGGGGATCCCAATTATGAAGAGAAACGATCAGAACAGAATTTTAATTGGAGAAGATTTCAGAGGAAATTTCATCTGAAATCTTAAAATGCTCGAAGGAATAGATAGAATAGAATCTTAGACCTGAGTGCAAAACTGAAGGGCATGAGTACAAAACAAACCAATTAACCAGCTTCACACTAGGTTTAAGATTAAGAATCTTCTTTCCTCCCCACTAACACCCGCCCCCCACCTCACCACTCCACACTAATGTGAAATACGATTACCATTAATGTTAATCTATGAAGGATGTTAATTGATGGAGTATTAACTTGTGGTTAGAAATTAGATTAAATTAGAATGGGGAAGTGTAATTGAAGATTGTTTCTGTATGAATGTTTCTTGAATTTTACAACCATGGGAGTGTAAAGCCAATTGCTCTAATGGTTAACTGGGGTCATAGAATTTAATTTAATTTAACATTTTTTTTAAAAAATGAACAGTATGACAGTAGTAAATGTATGGAACAGGCTCCCTAGGGAGACGGTGAAAGCAGAAAGTATCAAATCTTTCAAGAACAAATTAGATGGATTTCTGTTAGGAAATAATATCTTGGGATACACTATATAGTTTGGGACATGACATGTCAAGCTACTGCCAGGATGGTGGGAGGCGAACTAGTTGGACCTAGGTCTTCTTTCGCCTAGAAAATTCTTATGTTTTTATGCTCTTAACGGGGAGCTACTCTGACAAGCTTTTCTTTGTACGCTTTAAGTCAGTTAATAATGACCCTTATGTTTGATGTGACTATTTCTTATTTGGAGTACTTTTCAAAGTGCGCAATTGGTTGCCGCGTTTCACCCACAAATATACAGTCAATTTACTTTACAGTATATTCTGTGAAGCGCTTTGAGACGTCTAGAAGACGTGAAAAGCGCTATATCAAATGCAAGGATTATTATTTTATTATAAGTGCTTTTCAGAATATACTGTAAAATTCTGTATATTTTATGGGCAAAAATGGCAGCCGGCTTGTGCACAGCAAAGAGAGTTCAAAATCAAATGAATTGTACTTGGGTACTTGTAGGCTTGAATGCCCTTTCTTTTGACTTACTTTCTTCTGTCCATACTTCCAGGTTATCTTTACATTGCTGATAGAATTGACAAATTATTAATACTAAAAATCTACTTAGCAAATAATACGTATTGACCCAAAATGTTAAGAAGCCGCCTGTTGTTGTAATGAGAAGACAAGTTGTGCATGTGAATCTCTGTTATATCATCCTTGCATTTGATATTGTGTCTAATCATGCCATTGAGTTGAGTGATGTATGATAATAAGTGTACATTTTATATTATTATAATAATAATATTAAATGCAAGGATTATTTATTATAGTGTCATTCATTTCAGGACGTCTCAAAGCACTTCGTACAGTTTACTGTAAAGTGACTGTAGTCTGTAAGTAAACGTGGGCAGCCAACGTGTGCAGAGTGATGTTGCACAAATGGCCAGTTTTATCGTAAAAGGCAAATACATAAAATATGAAGTGTTGGTGAAATTGTTTTCACAAAAAGCTTCTCACACAGTTTTTACTTCGAATCTCCTGTGCTGTGGAATATTTCTTACTTCTGTGTCTTATTTCACAAATACGTTTTGAAAACATTCATTCCTTTGCGATTATTTTTGTTACACTTTCTCTTACAAACGCTTCAGTATAGTCTGCTGGCAGGCTGCAGCAGGACACACTGGGTGTGACGTTCACAAATAGTCATAGGGGATTTATCGTCCAGAGCTCCTGACTCTGGTTATTGCAGCATTTTTTCTGAACTGGTTTGATATGTGGAGTGCTTCAATAAATCAAGCTGTTGCACTTGAGATTATCAGGCTATAGTTACAGAAACCGAATTGATAGAGTGTCATTAAAAATCAGCGACAATTTACAAATTGTGAAATGAATATCATTTGGCATTCAGTTCAGACGGCATTGTTATGCAGTCTGCTCTTAAAACATCATTGACAGGGTTTACACTGTCCCAGCTCTCTGTGCCCAGCGACGCACGCTATGGACTGGGACACATTATACTAACTACTATACTTATTACCTCATTAACTTTCATTGAACAATATTTTGAATGGTTGTACTCTTAATCGTTTTATGATGTCCTAGATCTTTATGTTTTGAAAGCCCCTTTTTCTCATCAGTAATACGGATACCCTTACAAAAAGTAACAAACTTCAGTTGGGACTCCCTCCACCCTCTCCGACTAGTACCTGGGGAGTGGATACTCTTGTGTTTTGTGGAGTCCTGTAGTTTAGTAGTTAGAGCCAAGGCTTAGGAGTTCTAGAGTGTGTGTAGGGGTACTACTGGAGTTTTACTCAGCTCACAAATGAAGAATGACCAATTGTGGGGAGGGGGTGTGGGGTTCTGGTGTCCCTGAAACCATATCCCAGAAACAGTCTGGGCTTTAAGAAAGGATATGGGAGTAAATGTAACTGTGGTATGCATTTGAGGTGATGCTCAATTATAAGACCTTTTTGTTTTTTTTTAGATTGTATAAATACTTCTGTCACTTATCAGCTTTTCGGTTTCTTGTTCAGAGGTTCTTTACTGATTTGAAACAAGTTAATTGCTGTGATTTTAATTGTGTTTTTTTTTCTTGCAGGAAATTCTTCTTTCCTGGATGGTTACAGACCTCTCCCTCCAAAGGTAAAGCAATGATTTCGGTTTGACGCTGATTATTTCAACTCCTATCGCTGACTTTCAAGAGTAAAATGAAGATTGCAAAAATTTCAAGGATTTTTTTAAGCAAAATATTACGTTGAATTTGAAGCTGATTTCTGCTAATGCAGCAACAGCAACAACAACTACTCACACTTATATAGCGCCATCCATGCTGGGTAGAGTCTCAGAGCGCTTGATGCAGGGAGCAGACCTGATTTCCTCTGTTGCAAAATTTTCTTTTCTTGCTCCAATGTGAGCTACATCCTCAGTTAGACTTGGATCCAGTGTTTGAATGGCTTCATTCTGAAGGAAAACTTGTACATGGTGATGACGTTGCCACAGATAAAGCAGGCAGTATGTTTATACGACTGGCTGGCTGCCATGGCCCTTGAGGACACACACACATTCAGGCACAGAAGTACTTGAGGCTGAATGTACAGGGTGCCATTTGCAATGCTGTTATTTGGCTTCATCAAAAGGCAGAGTGTTAGCAAAGTGTCAGTCAACCTGTCAACCTGTAGTAGTAATAATAATAATCCTTGCATTTGATATAGCGCCTTGTCATGTCTTCGAGATGCCTCAAAGCGCTTCACAGAATATATTGACTGTGTGTTTTGTGGGCAAAATGTGGCAGCCAATTGCATACAGCAGTGTCCCACAAACAGCCATGGATTGAGTGACCATTTTTTTTAAGGGAATACTACCCAGAGAAAGCCATCCGCCAATGACTAACAACCGGCATACTGCTCCCCTCCCCAACCACAGGGACAGAGTAATTGTTAGTTGATGTCATTTATCTTGGGTGATTTTCCCATGTCCTCATACCTAGAACTCATACAATTGCACCTTTTGGATTAGATCTGCCCGTTGGTATATCTATGTGGTCTAACTTTGTGTCATGATAATCTTTGCGCTCAGTATAATATACATGCACCCACACACCACATGCACCACTCTTGTTGAAATCTGGAGTTAATGGAGTAAATATGCACTATTTAGAGGGAAAAATAAAAACTCTAAATGTGATGGGTGGAATGCAGGGTTCTAAAGTTTAACAAACCAGAATGCAACTCTCCTAATAATAAATAAGTATTCGCAGAAATACAAGATCAACAGGATTTCATTAGGAAAGAATAGGCTGAACCAGATGTTAATGTGGGTTGAGGATGAGCTATTGCACGGCAGTGGTCTTTTGATGGAACAGTAATGGGGACCATATTTTTGCAGGGGAAAAACTGTCTATAATTATTTTTTCTAATTGTCTCGGCTCTGCTTCCCGCTCGGGCCTCCTGTTGGTGGGGTGCAGGTTTCAGGCGCTGGATTCCCTGTGGGACCCATCCAAGATTCTATCGTTTGCATGTGAGCGAGCCTTGTCAGTGGGTATCGACAGGTCCAAGCCCTCCCCACGAGGCTGTTAAATATATATATATTATACATAACCAGTGCAAGGTCAAGAACCAGTAATCCCAGCTGGTTTTAACCTTCCTGACCCCAGCAAACTAAACCTCCCCAATGCAGTTCGGGCTGAGACTCTAAAGCTCAGCATGGACCAGGATTTGAAGCTGTCAGTCTGTAAACTGCGATTTTATCCGCTATAGCTTTGGGACTGCTGCAGGCACCATATATTTAGTTACATGCTGAAATTCCATTAAGGGGCAGCGGCAGCACTCCTAGGTAGTTTTCTTGAAAAAAAGTCTGTTGCATAAAACATCTTTTTCTCATGTGAGTATAAGTTTCTTAGCATACAGTACGTTAACAGTCCATGTTGTCTATCATGCATGCATTAACCTGATCTTTAACATAGATGCCACTTTATCTAATTGCATTGGTTAAACCAAACTATTTTATTGTAACAGGGTGAGACATTTTCATACTCCAGCATAAAGCTTTGGAAGGAACAAGATACATATTAGACTTGAATAGTAATAGTGGGTGAGCATTATGGAAAACCAGTGTGATAATCTGAAAAATACTATTGTAGGAAACCGTGCCAGCAGTGAGGTAATCACAAAGCAAGTCAATTCAGGCAACTTTAAATATTAAACTTTAAACACATTACACATGAGTCAAACCATGCGACATTCAAATGACCTTTCTAGTGTATCACACAACTGTACATGAATGCTCATATTGAATCTTTTAAAGTTCTTACAGTAGCCTTCAAAGTTTGGTTTTCCAAGACTAATATTTCTCATTCGGCACCACAAATTATGAAGTACAGTCAAATCACATCATCATTAAATTACATTTACAGTTGTTAAACCTCTTCATAATGAGCTGCCAGGAGATTGACATATTATATTGGCAGTTCTATGTTATCTTCTTAAAGAAATTCAACACTGAGCTTCCTTTGAACCATATGCATATATGATTCTAATGTTCCAAGATGCTGTCCGAAGTAAAGGGCGCAGTATAAATCCAAGTTGTTATTGTTGTTGCACAAGACAGCCCTATGCGAATGTCAGGACTGCAATCAGCTGCTATACAAGCACCAGATAGTTCTTATATTTTGAAAACCTTGATCATATAATCCCTTTTTATTCATCAATTTTCCCTGTTATTGAGCTGCCATTGCTTAGCTCCATTGTATTTTCATGTCCACTTAGTATCCTCTCAGAGAAATCCAGTATACATATTGAACCTGGCATACTTCCAATAAAGCCAGACTGGCTCCATCTTATTCCATATTTTTCTAGATCCTTCATTATTTCTTCATTCAGCATGCCCTCAAATATATCCACTGTCGATATTATGCTCCCTGTACTTAAGTCCCAGGGTTATCCTGTTCCCTTTATACAATCCTCTAGGGCCACCCCTGTTTCTAAGGATTTCCTTGAAAGTTGCCACTCGGATACTGCTCACCCTCCTGAGGCTTTGTATAGAAAATTGTTTGGTTGGTTTTATTACTGTGCAGTTGCACCTGAGGATGCACGTTATGCAGACAGTTTTCATCCCAGCAATGCCTTAGCATTAAAGTTCCAGTCCATCTGTCCAGGTACACAGTTAACGTCTCAGCTCAGATTTTCATCTGCTTGGTTGATAGCTTGGTCATAGGCCAAAATTTCTGCCAAATATTAGCTTGTAAGATTTATTTTATTTTTAAATTTAAGACAACCATTAGTTCACCCATAAATAGTCATTATACTTTACAGTGATTTATAGTGATTCCTGTGAAGCTCTTTAAGGTAGCTTGACAATGTGATAAGTTGCTCCAGCACATGCAAGGATCATTATTATATTAGAAATTCTTCAAATTCAGACTTACTTCATCTAATTTACTTAATTTACTTAACTAATCTAAAATTGAGGGGAATCATTCAGCCTCCTCTGCCCTCCCGACCTCCACTCCCTCCCCATCTTTCCCCCACACTCTGACCTCTACGCATCCTTCTTCCACATTTATGAACCTGTCTCCCCCTCCTCTCTCGTTACAAGCATATCATAGAATCATAAAATTATACAGCACAGAAGGAGGCCATCGTGTCTGTGTTGGCTCTTTGAAAAGAGCTACCCAATTCGATCCCACTCCTCTGCTCTCTCCCCATAGTCCTGCAAACTTGTCCTCCCCAAATAATTATCTATTGTTTCATATGCAGCATGAAACACACCACCTGCTCCCTTGACCCCATCCCCACCCCTCTCTGTACCTCCCAGCTCCACCACCTCACACTTCTATTCACTGACACCATTAATCTCTCCCTTTCATCTGGCACTGTTCCCTCCCGTTAAAAACAGCTACAATCACCCGCATTCTGAAAAAACCTTCCCTGGACCCATCCCTGCCTTCCAACTACCGGCCCACCTCCAATCTCCCTTTTCTTGCAAAGGTCCTTGAAAGAGTCGTTGCTCCCCAGCTTCACGCATTCCTCTCCTACCACTGCCTTCGCGAACCCCTCCAATTGCGTTTCTTTGCTGCTCACAGCACGGAAACTGCTCTGGTCAAGTTCACAAATGATATTTTGTCCATTTGTGACTAGGGGTTCCTCTGCCTCCTTGTCCTCCTTGACCTCTCTGCTGCCTTCGACACCGTGGACCATTCCATCCTCCTCCACCACCTCTCCTCTCACCTCAACCTTCAAGGTTCTGTCCTTGAATGGTTCAGGTCTTATCTCTCACAACTTCTCCAATTTGTCTCCGCCAGCGGTTTCTCTTCCAGCTCACTCACAATCTTGTGTGGTGTTCCTCAGGGCTCTGTCCTTGGTCCCCTCCTCTTCAACCTCTACATGTTGCCCCTTGGTGACATCATCCACAGACCTGGTGTAAATTTCCATATGTACGCAGATGACACCCAACTCTATCTCTCTGCCTCCACCCTCGATTCCAGGACAACTGACATCCTGACAGACTGTCTGTCAGACATCAAGTCCCAAATGAGAGCCAAATGGAGTCCTGTAGCTCAGTGGTTAGAGTACTCGCTTTGCAAGCGAGAGACCTGAGTTCAATTCCAGGCAGGGCGAAACCTTGGGCAAGTTTCCTTACTCCACACGCCTAATAATAATCCCTCCAAAACCAAAAAAAAACCAATAATAAATTGGTCATTTTCAATCTACGACTGTTTGTGGGACATTGCTGTGTGCAATTGGCTGCCGCGTTTGCCCACAAATATACAGTCAATTCACTTTACAGTGTGTTCTTTGAAGCGCTTTGGGACATCCTCGCGACGTGAAAAGCGCTATATCAAATGCAAGGATTATTATTATTATTAACTTTCTACAGTTGAATGTCAGCAAGACTGAGGCCCTCCTGATTGGCTCGCGCCAGCGCCTCAGCACCTCAGGCTCTGGCAGCATCAGCATCCACAGTTGCACACTCCACGTCACCAAGCCAGTTAGGAACCTATGCGTCTTGGTCAACCCTCAACTGTTCTTTCTCCTCGATATCTGTGCCATGACCCGTTCTGCCTTCCCCCACCTCCGCACCATTGCCTGACTCCGCCACTGCCTCACCCCTCAGGCCGCCGAAACCCTCATACACGTATTTGTCAC